CTAGGTTTTTTTTTTTTTTTTTTTTGCATTGGAAGGAGGCCTAAGCCAAGAAGCAAGACAAAGAGTACAGGGGGGGATTAGACAGAGGAAGAAGAGCTCACCACAACATGCGCTCAAAGGTAACACCTAACTCGTCATCCTGGATGAACGGGAAAACACTAGGAGGCGGGTTCGCCAACTCATGCAACCCGTAGGGATAGACGAGACTGTGCTTCGAGAGCCAGTCCGCGACTCTATTCACTTCGCGGTATGTATGAGAAAGGCTGACCTAACCATAAGAAAAAAAAGGCTGACCAACCAATCCTGACTGAGTTTCCTGCGAATAAGACACAACAAAGTAGCATAGGGATGGATAGGATCATGCCGGTTCTGGATCAAATGAATGGCAAGCTGTGAATCCGAGACCACCCTCACCATCCGAAATCCGAGTTTCCAAGTCATCTCAAGGCCATAATAAATGGCCCACAACTCTGCCGCAGCCGCCGTTGCTGACCCAATATTCGCCACAAAGCCACCCTGCCATCGCCCCAAAGAATCACGCACAATGCCCCCAGCTCCGGCCGGCCTCGGGTTGCCGTTCGAAGCCCCATCGGTGTTCAGCATAACCCAACCCTCTGACGGAGGTTTCCAGCCGATATTCACAGTCACACGCTCACCCCGCTGCATCCTATGATTCAATAACAAGCTCGGAGCATGCCATGAATCATTCCAAAGCTTGCTCTTTACTAGAATGGAATGGGTGAGTGATGGAGCGGACATGGCTGCCCCAACTCCCTTGAACGATGCCACAATGCAATTCTTCCAAATCAGCCAGATAGACATGCTAAAGAAGGACACCAACCCAATGCCCGAAGACGTGACCTCTTTGCTCAACAGGTTGCTGCGCAGCCAGTCCTCCTGGTTTGCAGAGAAGAACAGGGGCTGATTCTGCTGCGGGACAACTCTGCTCCAAAAATACATTGCTGGAGCACAATCTCTCAATAAATGGATTATGGTTTCAGGTTGCCCAATGCATCGAATGCAGCAAGGCGAGTTCGCAAATTTCCTTTGAAATCGCATGGCGTTGGTTGTAATTCTCCCCTGCAAGGTCAGCCAAACGAACCCTCGGATCCGTTCCGGAACTGCCAGCCTCCAGACAACCTTCCAAATTTCATCATGTACCTGTTCATCCTGTCTGGTCAACAACGCATAAGCCGACTTGGTAATGAATCGACCATCTGCGGATTCGTGCCAAAAGAGAGTGTCATCTTCTTGCGAGAGTGTGTCCACCACCGTACTCAGGATTTTATCGCTAATTTCCGGGGGCAGAAGGTCAGTGAACAGCTCGGTTCTCCAGGTGCCGTCATCACGGACAAAGTCGGCGACTGTCGCCACTTCCATGTCTCCCGGGATAACTCCAGTGGCTTCCTCTTTAAGTGGTACCTGCAAAATCCACGGATCCAACCAGAATTTAGTCCTTCTCCCACTCTTAATATTCCACGCACAACCTTTCTTAAAAAGGTCCGCAGCTTTCAATAAGCTATTCCAGGTGAAGGAACTTCCCTGAATTTTACGGAAAATGTCTAAACCCTTTCGCTTTTCGCCATACTTAGAGTAGAGGATACGAGACCAAAGACTCTCCTTCTCCTGAAGCATCCGCCAGCAACCTTTAGCGAGCATGGCAATGTTGCCTTGTCGAGTCTGCCTTAGACCTACACCTCCACAGTCCTTCGGCGTAGTTAAGGTTTCCCAAGCAACGAGATGCATCTTAGCTTTCTCCTTTAGAGGGTTGGAAAAATGACTACGCTATTTTAGGTATTAAATTTATGATGCATTAGTGACACTTTGACAATAAAAATCCAATTCAATTACATTTTTTTCCCTCAAAATCAAACTTATATTAATTACATCTCTCTCCCTATTCACTCTTTCTTTTTCCAACAAATTTGTTGTCTTCTCCCGGTTGACGCCTTCCGGTCATACTCCTGCCAGCAGACTCCTTTTGACCAGATTTTCTCTAGGAGACTCCCTCTGACCACCTAAACAAAAAATATCACTGCATTAAAAAAGTACCATTGCACTGATAACTTTACCTGTACTATCTTGCACTGATACAACTAACAGTGCACTGATAACGTTACCACTGGAAGTAAACGTGTCAGTCGTCGGCGGGATATGAGCGACGGTACGAGGAGTTTCAGAGACGCGATGTTATGAGGAGTTTCTGGGATAAGCGACATGGGTTCATGGTAGGGCTGGAAGTTTGGTACTGGTGATTGGGATATACCAATTACCGTACCAAATTTATCACTATTTGGTATTACCGAATACCGACTTATTTTTTTAGGATTGGGATTGAGATTCATTTTGGAGTGCTATTCTTTATTCGGGATTACGAGATCGAGATCGATATATACCGAAATACCGAAAAATAAAAATTAATGAAATATAACACACAAACTTTAGTCATTCCTCGCTCTTTCACAACTTAGAAGCCCCATTCCAACTCAATTTTAACTTTCCAGTTTAAGTGACTCTCGTTTCTAACCTAATCTCTTGTTATTTTCATAACACCAAAAAACAAACACTAGTAGTAGTCGTCTCTCAACCTTTAATTCATCAAATTAAGGATGAACCGAGTTTGTAACAAATTCACAATCGACTCGACCAAAGAATTTAAAAAGCGTATAAAACTCACACCTGCCTGAGAAATTAACAAACACTAAAGTGGATAAAATTCGCTCACGACCCAAAATAACTCGACAACATCATGTTCAACTCTCTTTGATATGGTTGAACCAAATATGTAACAAATTCACAACCGACTCGACCCGCCAATTACAAAAGCGAATAAAACTCACTCCTTCCTGAAAACTTGTAAACATCAGGTCATTTTTAACAAGTTAAATTAGGTTGGATACTCATAGGTTTGGGTTCTCAAGCAAAAGGAAAAAGGATAAATAAAAAACACTAAAGCGGATAAAACTCGTTCCCCACCAAAAACTCTACACACCAAGTTCAACTCGTCTTTACTGGTTCGAAATGAGTTTTTAATAATTCACAGTCGGCTCAACATGAAAATTCTAAAAGCAGATAAAATTCGCTCTCGATACAAAACTCGTCAGCACCGAGTCTTGCTTCAATTGTCATTCTCAACGAAAAGGAAGCGAAAAAATAAAATAACATTAAACAGACAAATCTCGCTCTCGATCCAAAACTCGTCAACACCGTGTTCAGCTCGCTTTGACCAGGTCGAATCAAGTTTTTAACAAATTCACACTCGACTCGACATGCCAACTACAAAAGCGGATAAAACTCGTTCTCGATACATAACTCGTCAATACCATGGATTTGGGTTCAATTGTCATTCTCAACGAATAGAAAAATTAAAATTTATAATTACTGAAGCATGGTTCAAGTCGATTTGACTTAGTCGAATTAGGTTGGATACCCATGAGTTTGAGTTCAATTGTCATGATTCACCAAAAGAAAAAGAGAAATAGGAAAACACTAAAGATAGAAAACTCGGTCCCGATACAAAACTCGGCAACACAAAGCATGTTGGTATGGATTTTCGGTAGCGGTTTTGGGACACGATGGATGGGTATCACCGAAAGTATTTCGAGATATAGTATGGATCTTCGGTAGTTGTCGTAACAAACGGTGGAAGAAGACAACTTATGATTTCGTCGATAGTGTTTCAAGATGGGTTGCAAATTGGTGGGGCAAGACGATGATTTGGGCGAAAGATCATAGACGAAAACCTAATAGATAATTGTTGCAATAGGAAACATAATGAACAATAGATGACACCTAATGGGCAATAGATGTAGACCCAATAGACAATAAATGAACACAAAGGTTGTAGAATGGGAGAGTGAGGTAAAATGTGGAACTTGAAACTTGCTCACTTACAAGGAGGAGTGTGAGAGCCACTACTGAATAGTAACCCACAACTTTGCCTTTTATATATTAATTAATTAATAATAATACCGCGGATGATTGGAGGAGTTTCATTATCATGTCTCGTTCCTATATTCAACTAGCTTTGTAAATTTGTAATGGAACCGTTGCCTAGATGAATTTTGTTTATCGTTAATGTTTATCAGTTTATCATAATGTTTAAACCAATTTGGATGTCTTAGGGTCGTTTGGAAGTTGTGATAGTTTTGTTGAGATTGTCATTATGCATGTATTGTTTACAATGCATCGTTTTTTTTGTTTTTTTAGCAGAAACAATACATGGATTGTTTCTGTGATGTGACAGAAACTATCACTCATTTTGAGTGAATGTTATATCTCAACTTTTAGTTGTGATCGTTGAGATAGTTGAGTTGAGATTGTTTTGTCTCAGCTTTTAGCTGATGCGACATACACAATCACACATACCAAACGTTGTATTCTACAATGCATCAAATTCGACAATACATGTATAATATTATACATACATTCTCAACAATACATCTATTTAACAATCACAACTTCCAAACGACCCTTTAGTCTTTTATTTTTATTGTTAATTCCATTCAGTTCCTCTCCCGCGAGATCAATGGGATGAGATTAGGTGCTAACCCTTATAGGGGTTAGCACCGTGATAACTAGCAAAAAACACTACTAAAAACAACGAAATCACTACAGATTATTATAAAATCAATACAATATCTAAGCTAAATCACTACTAACCCTTGGTTAGGACGGTGCTAACTCTTGTACAATTAGCACCGTAACTCCTCCCGAGATCAATTGGTACACATGATCCAGCAGATGCTTCGGCGTCGGCTTCAATTCGAGATCGGAATCAGAATCCTGCAGATTGAAAGGCGAGAGCACCCTGCAGAACTATTTGGAAAAGGCTAAATTGCGAGTTTGGTCACTTGAATTACTAGTAAAATTCACGTTAGCCACTAGAATTACTTTATTCCATCCGTAGTCACTTAAATTAGGTTAACAGTTCAAGTTTGGTCACTGGCCGTTAGTCTCCGTTAACTTTTGCTGATGAGGCGGTCAACTTTTATAGTTGACCGTTAAATGAGTGACGTGGCAATAAAAAAAAATTTAATTTTTAATAATTTCCACCTCATTATTACAATAAATTAAAAAATAATTAAAACAGAAAGTGTCACAAACAACGGCAACGGCGGAGGATGATTCTTCTCCGTCGAGGTCGTTAGCTCCGACCACGTCTCCCTTCCCAAAATTGCCGCCACTGTTACTTTTCTCCTGCCATAAAAAAATCTAAACTTTCCTTGCAAACTCTTCCTGCACACCCACTCCGAAACCCGCAACTTTCATCGGGGGATTCATACTTTGAAGCCCTCTCTTCACACACCTACTTCGAAATCTCGTCGGTGGTGGATTTGTAGAGTTCGCACTTTTCATTCCCAAATCATCTGCATCAACCCACATTTCATTCCCGTATCATCTGGAGGCTTGTAAAACCCTGCTAGCGACTCAAATAAAGCAACTCGACAATGGCAACCACAACGTAAGAAGTCCGAATTCTCCCATTTTTTTACTTACAGTTCGCACTTTTCTTTAGCTGGGTCAATCTGAATTGGGTTCTGGGTTGTTTGCGTTTGGGATTTGAGAACAGTCTGTACAAATCCGTGCCCGAGATCCGCTCGATGCCTCGTCGTAGCCACCTCCTGTCTTCGACGGCGTCACCAGGTTCTCGGAAAACCCTCGCTTTTACGTTTTTTTCTCGGGGCCCATTTTTAGGTCAGTTCTAAAATGCTGAAATTTGATTCTTGATTCAAGGCTGTACACCAACTACGGATGCCCTTTCGCTCAGAGGGTGTGGACCACTCGGAATTTCAAGGTGGGTAGCTCTCATTTTCGTTTTGCCTTTCCAATGGGGGATAATCCGAATCGAATGGGTGGCTCGTAATTTGCTTTGGGGGTTTGGTGGGATGCAGGGGTTACAAGACAAGATCAAGCAAGTCGGCATAGATCTTAATAACATGCCTGCTTGGTCCTAATAAGGTGCAAATTATTTTTTAATTTATTGTGACGATGAAGTGGAAATTATTAAAAGTTCAATTTTTTTATTTTTAATTGCCACGTCACTTATTTAACGGTCAACTATAAGAGTTGGCCGCTACATCAGCAAAAGTTAACGGAGACTAACAGTGAATGACCAAACTTGAACTGTTAACCTAATTTAAGTGACTACGGATGAAATTAAATAATTATAGTGGCTAACTTGAACTTTACTAGTAATTCAGGTGACCAAACTTGCAATTTATCCATTTGGAAAAATATATGATTTGCTTGTTGAATTTGATGATTATTGACTAGCTTTGTGGGTATGAAAATTTACACTATTGACTATTGGATGATTTGTAGTGTGAGAAATATGAAAATTATAACAGATATATGTGTAATATATCATCATGAATATGTGCCCCATACCCAATTCCCACCTTTGGAATTAACATTTGCAAATACGTGGGATGAATAGATTTGATACTTCACAATCCATCATGAATAGATTCCCCACTGGATACTTGACTCTGCTTGTTTTAATAATATGACTGGTGATCGGTCTACCCTCGAGCATGAACAACTTGTTAATGATCTATCCCTTCAAGTTGCTAATGGTGAGAAATTAAGTGTAGCCGGCATGGGCACAGTTCACAATTCAAATGTTGTTTTACCATCTACATATTATGTGCCGAAGTTGGTCCCTAGTTTGGTTTCTGTCGGCCAGCTTACTGACCAGGGCTATCGTGTTACTTTTGCACCCTCTGGATGTGTTATTCAGGACCCGAAGACCGGGAGGGAGATCGGTAGGGGCAGCAAGATGGGGCGCTTATTTGTTCTCGACCAGCTGCGTCCACCATCGTCATCGTCAACATCATCACCAATCACCTTCTTTCCTACAGCTTTTTCGAGTCTTCCAGACAAAAACTTTCAATTGTGGCATGCTCGGTTAGGACACCCAAACTCTAGTAGACTTATGACAATGTTTAAACAAAAGTTATTTGGGATACCACCCATGGTCAGTGTTCATCGGATTTTTCCTGTACTAGTTGCATTTAGGGTTGTTAATGAACCAAGCCGCTCATGAACGGCTCGGCGTCCGATTCGAGAAAAACTCGTTCGAAACTCGATTCGTTTTAATCAAGCCAGCTTGCGAACAAGCTCGTTAACTAAACGAGCCGAACTCGAGCCATACCCCGTTCAGCTCGAAAGCTTGCGAACAAGCTCATTTAACGTTTTGACATAAGAAAGGATTAGAATTCATGGATTTTATGTATTGAAATTGTGTAAAATACTGTGTTTTATTTTGCTAGACTTTGCTACAAGTTTGATTGTAATTTTGTGCCCAGTTTTAGGTAAATATTGAGCTACTATTAACATTTCATGAGCTAAACTTGATTTTGGGCTCGTTAACCTTATCTGACGAGCCGAGCTCTAACCGAGCTCGAGCTTTCATTTTCATAAACAAGCCGAGCTCGAGCTTGCATATTAAAGCTCGTGACGAACACGAGCCGAGCTCGAGCTTGGAAATATATTAACGAGCCGAGCTCGAACTATGGCAAAGCTCGGCTCGGCTCTGCTCATTAACAGCCCAAGTTGCATTGAGGCTAAGACTACAAGAATTTCTTTTCCTTCTAGTCTTACCATTATTTCTGAACCTTTTGATTTGATACACACTGATCTTTGGGGTCCTAGTCCTTCTACTTCTCGACTATGTTATAAATATTTTGGGTTGTTCATTGATCATGCTACTAGGTATACATGGGTGTACTTTCTTCGCCTAAAGTCTGATCTCTTGACTGTTGCTACTGAGTTTCTTGCCATGATTAAGACCCAGTTTGGTAGAACTGTTCGTGTAGTCCGTTCTGATCCTGGAGGGGACTTTAGTGCGGGTCCCCTGTTACAACTCTATCGTGATATGTGAATTTTGTCTAAAAAATCTTGTCCTAGGCTGTCTCAACAAAAAGTTGTCGTTGAAAGGAAAAATCGTCATGTGTTAGAGGCCACTCGTGCCCTTCTTCTTTCGTCCTATGTCCCATCGTCATATGTCCCATCGTCCTTTTGGCCTGAAACTGTTGCTACTGCTGTGCGTCTTATCAATTATCAGATTACACCTGTTCTAAACCAGACTAGCCCCTACTTCCTCCTGTTTTCCAAACCCCCTCCATATTTCCGCCTTCGTGTCTTTGGGTGTGTCTGTTTTGTTCTTCTACCTCGATCTGAACGCACTAAGCTCACTTCTAAAACTGCTCGTTGCTGTTTCCTTGGCTATAGTGACATTCATAAAGGCTATCTTTGTGATGATTCCTCTTCTCATCGTGTTCGCATAGCTTGTCATGTTGTGTTTCTTGAGAACCTAACGTACCATGCTTCTTCCTCCGTGTCCGACCCCCCATTGTTCGACCTATCCCTTACTCCGCCTTCTTTTGGTGATGATGACGATGGATACCTTGATGATGAGTTTCACGAGCTGCCCCCCGATTTCCCCCCTTCGCCCGCACCCTCACCGTCTAGCTCATCCGACGAGTCACCATCTGCATCGCCTTCGCCCTCTCCACCTCCTGTGGAGTCCCCTCGACGATCACTCCGCAGCACCCGGGTGTTTCACCGGTACGTCATATGGATTATTTGGCTTTCAGTGTTGACCCCATTCCTGTTACTACTCGATACTCACAGGCTAAAGGGAATCCGGATTGGGATAATGCTATGACGGAGGAAATTAATGCCCTCCATGCTAATCATACTTGGGACATGGTCCCTCGGCCCCCTCCTTCTGTTCCGGTTATTGGCTCTTGGTGGGTCTATACTATTGAGGTTCGCCCTGATGGTTCTCTTGAGCGGTTTAAATCTCGGGTAGTGGCCCAAGGTTTTTGCCAGGAATACGGGATTGACTTCGAGGAGACCTTTGCCCCAGTTGCCAAGATGGTCACAGTCCGTGCTCTCTTGGCTGTTGCGTCTATTCGTGGATGGCCATTGTTTCAGCTTGATGTTAAGAATGCTTTTCTGCATGGTGAGCTGAAGGAGACTGTTTACATGGAGCCACCTCCTGGTTATACCTATGGTGAGCCAGGGCAGGTGTGATTACTTCGTCATTCTCTCTACGGTCTGAAACAGGCTCCTCGGGCGTAGTTTGACAAGTTTCACTCCACTATTCTTGCGCTCAGCTTCGAGCAAAGCCTTAATGAACCCTCTATGTTCACACACAGTTCTTCTCGTGGTCTTGTGGTGCTCTTATTGTATGTTGATGACATGATCATTGTCGCAACCGCCCTCGGAAAATCGGGGTATTGCTCGCGAATCGGTTTGGAGTCGCCATCGATCGTATTTTGGGGTGGGTCGAACACTCTTTTCTGGTTTTAATTTTTGTTAAAACCAGAATTCTGGTCTGCGAATTTTAGATTGTTCTAGGTTCGGGAGTACGGTTACGTGTGGGGAAGTGTATTCACACTCCACAATGCCCCATAACGGGTACTAGGTAAATCGATAAGTTTTTTAAGAGGTTGGGTGTAATATTAATTGGGATTTGTTTGTGGATTTAAGCGTAATATTTGATTATTTTTAATTAGTTTCAATGTAAATTGTTAGAGTCCAATTGGACGATGTTATTGGCATAAACTTGAATATAAAGTTACCGGTTTTCACGTCTATTGACGTAAAAAGGTTTTTTAGATTGGTTGGACTCGAACCTATCAGTTGCCTACGTACCCGGGTTAACCGGGATCAAAGTCCACGTAGTTCGAAAGGTGACTTTGATGATTTAAAATGTAATTTTAACCACGTTCCACCTATCGTGGCTCTTGACTTTGATCGTTTTGGGTGTAATTTTTATCACTTTCTACTGAAAGTAATTTTCGTATTATAATTTTGTTAATAAAATATAAATTGATTATTGCAAGGATTTTAGTATTTAGGAAGTATTTTGATGTATTAGAAAAGAAGCAAGATAAACTTAATCCGTGTTCAACATTTCGTATTAAGGACTTTAAACAAATAAAATTAAGTGGGATGATTAAAATTACACATGATGGGCTGGCAGCCCAACTGGCTAAGTTGCTAGCCCAGGGCTCGTTCGCCCCCGAGAACACGGATTCGAAACCCCGTCAAGTAGGCATTTTTTGGTTTCTCATTTTGTTTCAGAAACGGGGGGAAGGTGATAGACCGATAATTATACATGTTTTCACCCCTATTCTGAAGCCGTTTGTGGTGAGGAATCTCGTGTTTTAAGCCGATTTCACGCTAGGGTATGTGTTTATGTCACATTTCAGGTCCCGGCGTTGGAATCGAGGCGGAGGAACGAGTTCCGGGTTGAAAGGAGCGGAGTTGGGTCGAAGGAGGCTGTTGGACCAAAATACCCGGCCAAAAGCAGGAATACCCGACCGGGTATTGTCTGGCCTTGACCGGGTATTTTTCACTTCGGGCGTCCGTGAGAAGCAGAAGGGGGCCCGGGCAAATGCCTAAAATCCCCGGTCGGGGATTATGAGGACAGACCGGGGATTTTCCCCTTAGTTGAAACGACGCGTTTTGGATAATACCCGGTCGAACCCCTAAATACCCGACCTAGTATTTTGACCGGGTATCGCGATGACAGCTGATAAAAGGAAAAGAAGGCCAATTTTCAGAGAGTTCCGAGTTTTTGAGAGAGAAAGCGATACCTAGAGAGAGAAAGCGACGAACCAGAGTTCCCAAGCGCCATAGATCGATCTTCATCACCATTGGAGCCTGGATTGAGCTTGGAGAAGTGCGATTAAACGTCCAGGAGCAGAAATCCATCTTCACAGTATGATTTCCGCGTCTGAATCTGCTTTTGCTTCTTTCTCTATGGAGTAGTTCCCCCATTCATCTGGGTATGGGGAACCCTAGATTTGTATGCTAGGTCTGATTGTATGAACCCAAGTACAGAGTTTGTGAATTGATTATATTCGATTGAGGTTTGAATGATTGAATGACTTGAATCCTGATCAAATTCCTGTTGTTTCTGCTTTGACCTAGAATGAGAATATCTGCCTAGGTTGATAGAGTACCCTTAATCGAAGGTGGCGAATTGGTGACTTTAGTCGAGGAGCCAATTCGCTATTCTGTACCGAATTCAATTCGGTAGTGGAGGTTTGGTTCGTTAGGGCCTCAATCTGTTTACTCCGGTGGAGGTTAGTCGCCCGCTAGAGACTCAGATTGAGAGGGTCTGGAGACCTTTAGTCGAGACTTCAGGCTAATTAAGAACCTTCCGCAGTATAACTTTCATGAAAACTGAACTTGGTAAATTGCAATCCGACTTAACTGCAGTCTAGGGGGAACCATATCCGGGTGACCTCTCTTGACTTGACAACATCCGTTTACTTGCTTTGTGTTTTTGTTTGCTTGAGTTGCACTAAAAGTTCACTGCTAAATAACAAGACTTCACCGAGTAGTCATCACATCTAGGACCCGGGTTGACAATAAAACCCAAACCCGCTATACTACGCTTTAGGAAGTGGTTACACTTGGCCATTTTCTAGAGTGACAGTAGGAGTGAGTCAAGTTTTTGGCGCCGTTGCCGGGAACGGCTAGGTTGTTGAAGAAAAGTGATTTCTGTTACTTTAGCACTTCCGTTTTCGCATTGATTATTTGTTCTTTCCCACTTGTGCCTTCACGGGTTTGCATTGCTTGATTGTCTGCAGATAGTGCATGACCCGTAGCCAGTCGGGAGGTTTACTGTCGTTGAATCCTGAGATTGAGCGCACTCGCAAACAACTTCGGAGACAACAGCGAGCTAGACTGGCTACGGTGGAGCGCAGAGACGGCCAATTGAGCAGCGACTCCGAAGACGAGTACGAGATGGAAGGCGATCAGAACCCACCTCCTCAGAACCAGATCCTGGGGAACGACCCAAATCCCCAGGGAGCTGG